TTATATATATTTTTTTTGAGAAACATTTAAAATATTTTGGAGCAGTAAACATGTCAGGCTAACTAATTTAAATGAATCATTAACTTGTGCTGTGTTAATTTGTTTAAAAAACACAGATTTCTTTCCCATTTAAATTGCATATTTGGATATCTTTTCTGCTAGAGATGCTGTTATCCCAAAAAACTAAAAAAACGTAAATAAAAAATCTTACACAACTCTTAGGAACGGTATAAAAGACATTTTTGGCAGTTTGAAAATCTTCGCGGTATACCTTGAAAACGGTTATCGTCCCATGCCTAGTTGAGCTACCAAAAAGCAAACAGAAATTAAATGTTTTATTAAATGTTGTACAGGAATCAAATAAAAAAAAAAGTTCATACTGTCACTTAACAAACAACGCAGAAGACATCAGCGTGCAAATCTAGGCAAAGGCAGGTTCAGCATGACAAGTGTATTCGGCATTGAATTCAAGGGTGTAGCATTAATACGGACAAGAGGGGGAGGTGTCTCCACCAATATCCACAGATTATTAAAATGTCCCAAACAATAATTTAATTGCCTCCAAAATAAAATAATGCTTTAGCGAAATTTTCCAGTCAGGCTTTTTGTGCTGTAAGCAGCTACATTTTAAAGAAAAGTGTCAGTCACTTGAAGTCACTAGTTTACTACAAGTAGTAATAATAATAGTAACCATGGTTGTGCAAATAATAAAAATATTGTTTACATTTTTTCCCCCTCCACAACGATTATTGCTTGTTAAAGTAAAATCATGTCAAATCATGTAAAAAATCATGTAAAACAATGTCAAAACAGGTCCCCATCAATATCAATGTCCTTGATTGAACTCCATTGTTTGGATTTTTAAATGTTTTTCATGGTTTTATTATCCAGCATATGTTTTACACAGCGGATGCTCTTCCAATCGCAACCCATCTCTGGGAAATTTATTGCAATTTGTTTGTTAGAATAACATACATTTATAAAAGTTAGAATGCATTAGTAAATACGCTTGAAGTATTTTTTCTATTTATTTATATATATATTATGAAATAAATGAGAAAATTACCCATGGCAACTTTAATGTAATATATTCATTCATTTTCTTGTCGGCTTAGTCCCTTTATTAATCCGGGGTCGCCACAGCGGAATGAACCACCAACTTATCTAACACGCAGCGGACGCCCTTCCAGCCGCAACCCATCTCTGGGAAACATCCGCACACACTCATTCACAAACACACTCATACACTACGGACAATTTAGCCTACTCAATTCACCTGTACTGCATGTCTTTGGACTGTGGGGGAAACCGGAGCTAATGTAATAGTTTGCTATATTTACTTTCAGCCCAAAGCTCTCAATCAAGCTTGGATTTTGGCCCTTCATGAGAAAAAGTTTGGGCAACCCAGGTATAGACATTTGGTTTGTTTCTACAGTAGTAGTTTGGTCTCTTTTGCAGCTCCTTGTGTCTTTCCTTTCATTCATTCATCACTGAATAAGCCAACACTGTACATGCAGGACAATGAGCCACCATTGTTTAACAATACAGGTAAAAAGCAGTTATTTTAAGCTGAAAACATTCAAATAATGAAATGTCAGCCCAGAGTCCTGATAAAAACCTGACTGAAAATTCTTTGTAGCTGAAAAAAGACTGGACTAAGATTGATGAACTTGAATGACAACTTAAACTTATTTTTACACAATCCAAGCACATCTATGCAATATGCTAGGAAAATATAATTTATATAACATAAATAAACGCAAAGATATATATTTTCCACTAAAGTTCAAAGTGAAATATAAAGCACCAAATACAGTATGTTAAAGACAGACCATTTCAATGTGGCCCATGAACATTTCCTGCTTGATATCAAACTACTTCATAACTGTAACGAGACAATTCGATTATATCTTAATGTTAAAACAGCTGTCATTATAGTATTTATCAATATGTAGACCTTTTTTATTCTCTGAAGTTACAGAAATTAAAAATGTAAAACAGGAACTTTGTTGGGACCATTGTTATTGTTTACATCCCTCAAAATGGTCACGATTTGTGTTGTCGTTTATAAAGGATATTGATGTTTGTTAAAGCACAAGACAATGATTAATGTGCATGTTTTCATACATGGATGAAAGTTTGAATCTATTTAATTGTATCTGACCTTCCTCCACTACTCCATATTATATCTCATCCATTCTCGACAATCATATTTCAATAAAACATTGAGGGCTGCAGTCTGAAACCCCAGTGGTGTGATTTGAAGAAGTGGAGAGAGACTAGGATCTCCCATCACCATCCTGCCTCAGGTCCCCCCTGAGGTTCCCCGACTGTCCCTGCTCCAAAATAGCAACTGCAAATCTAGAATAGTAGAATATTTAAAAGTATGAAAATAAGATTCACCTCCTGTATGCAATTAAATCCTAATAATGTGACTACTGTTATCCAGTAAAAAAATAATTAGGTGATGGCTAATACCAACCCAGCAGGTTGTATGTTAATGTATTAAGTAAGAATAAATCAGATACATTAGGAGCAAATCTTTATCGTGCCTGCTTTCCAGGCGGGAAAGGATCTACTCTACTGACTAGAATTTGATTGCCTGTTGCATTTCTATTCCCACAGAGGGGCTGTAAATTGCATGGCGCTTTAATGGATTTGGGTGTTTGCTTGATTAGCCCGTATTTTACCTCCTCGTTGCTGCGTATCACCGCAGTACAGCCGTGTGAATCATCTGCTCCCTGCATTAGTCCAAGGATATGGCCTGTATTTTGCATTCCATAAACTGTGGATTGAGTAGTTTATAAAAAATTTAGCTCTCTCACTCGCTCTGTACTTAAAATAAAACACACTGGGCAGTGTTTGACGATGCTAGCTTGAAAAAGTTATGCGGCGGCGCCATCTGCTGTCATTGACGTGCCACTTTTTTCATTTACTTCGCAAAAAATGAGTTTAGAATGTCAATTATTTAAGTCAATTTACTGTATTCGTATGTGTTTCTGACAGTGCTGGACTGTGTGCATAAATAATAATATTAAAATAATTTAAATACACGCCTTTAAGGCCAATCATATATCATAACTCAGATACTACAGGTAAAAGGAGTGGGGAAAAAATAATCACCATCAGTGTTGGGGAAAGTTACTTTTGAAAGTAATGCATTACAAGATTGAGTTACTCCCTAAAAAGTAGGCTATCTGCAAGCTGCGTTGGTAAGTAATGTGTTACATTACTTTTGAATTATTTTTGGTTTACTTTTTATTACCTGGCTGAGGCTTTGATCTCTTTCAGAACTTGTTTTTTTTCTTCTTCTTTTTTTAATGGAGGAGTTCTGCATTTAATAACGCACTGTGTAACCTACTTAAAAATATTATAGGATAATGTTTTCTGAGATCTTATGCCTCAGAGCTATACATGCCGTATAGATTATTGAAAGTTTAAAGCAGTGTTTGCTACTTTTCTACTGTTTGTCTTAAGTAAAATCCCTGTCCGTTAAGACTATTAGCCCCTTTGCTTTTCTTTGATGCATTCAAAATAATGAGCAGATTCTCTCATTGACTGCGCAAATCATTGTGACTACTTTAATTTTAATTCAGCAATTTATTTTTTAAAAGCTAATTAAACTAAAGAGTAACTTTTGTTACATTTTCAATAAAGTAGCTCAAATATTATTACTTATTTTTAAAAGTAATGCGTTACTTTACACGTTACTTATAAAAGTAATATTATTACATAACTTGCTTTACTTGTAATGCGTTACCCCCAACACTGATCTCCATACTTACCCAGCGGATTGTTTATGTTAATGGTTGCAAATATATGATTGCAATTCTAATTTTATATAAAAAATGGGGGGAAAAAAATATATATAGTCCTAGTCCCTTTATTATATATGTATGTATTTTCTAAAATATTGTTTAAATATGCAAATGCATTACTTAATATAATTTTGTCTAATTTACATAATTTCTAGCTCAAAAATCTGAACATTGGATGAAATCAGGCTCAAAACTGTTCAAAAATGTCATTAAAATCTACAAAAGCAAATTGATAAAGTTAAATAAAGCAAACACTTAAAACTTAAGTCTAACAAGATAAGACCAAAAATACTCTCGAAAAAACACCTAAAATATCAAAATCTGCCTTCAGTGTCTTGCATATTTTTGCAGGATGTAATACTCTACAGCAGGGGTGTCAAACTCAATTCCTGGAGGGCCGAAGCCCTGCACAGTTTAGTTCCAACCCTGCTCCAACACACTTACCTGTAGGTTTCAAACAAGCCAGAAGGACTCAATTAGTTTGATCAGCTGTGTTTAATTAGGGTTGGAACTAAACTGTGCAGAGCTGTGGCCCTTTTGAAACTGAGTTTGACACCTGTGCTCTACAGTATTTACAACTACTCTATTTAGAATATTAAACATTGAGAATGACTGCATTCAAACAAATAAAAAACAATGTGTTAAAATTGTTTGCTCAAATCCTAAAAAAGTGAATCTCGAGCAGTGTTGGAAAGAGTACCGAAAAATCATTCTCAAGTAAAAGTACCATTACTTAGGCCTAACGAAAAATGTAGTGCAAGTAGAGTAAATGGATTTGTTGTAAATATTACACAAAGAATGAGTAAAAAGTAGGCACTTTAAAAGTACTCAGGAGTAGAGAGTACTGAGTATTATATTGTGAAAGGTTGCTGCATTTACATGTAATGTGTGCAGGGATGTGTAAACGTAACATTCTGTAGTGCATTTAGTGATTGTTTAAGGCCATTTGGTGATTTCATGTCATCACACAGTAGACATCCTTCATCTTGATTTGATTGGACTGGAATCACAGGACTGATTTTTCTAATCACCATAGACAAGAAAAATAAAGTAGTGACAGCAGGCTGAACGGAATTTTGGCGTTAAAGTACCGATACTGCACTAAAAATGTACTCAAGGGAAAGTAAAAGTACACTTTTTAAAACTACTTAGTAAATTTCTGAGAAAAAACACTCAGTTAGAGTCGTTTGAGTATTTGTAATTTGTTACTTTACACCATTAACAACACAAGGAAAGATTTATAGTTTAAACTGTGGTCTTCCTCAGTCCTTCATAAAATTAAATTCAAGAATACTGACACTTTGTGAGTCAAAAACAGATGCAGGCAAAATAATACCCATGTCTCCTGACAATAAGATGAGGTCTTATGAACTGAAAGGCTCTGTCTGTTCATTTTTACAAATTTATAACCATTTTTACAAAAAAGCCTTTATTTAGAGTCATTAACATTCAGCTTTAGCAAAAAGGTCCAGTATCCATATGGCACTCAAAAGGATTTCTTTTCAGCAGTTCCCTCAAAAGTGCATGCAACCTGGCATAACTGACCCTCATTTAAAATGCTTTATCAACAATACGTCCTCATAAACATTCACGTTTTTTCATTGATATCCAATACACCACCACAGAATGTGGCATCAGACATTAAAACCAAGAGAAACAAAGAAGATTTTCACAGTGCTACCAGCATCATCACCACACAGCGTTTGGCATTTTCATAACAGTGCTGTTAAAAACATTTGACAGCATGAAAAAACACTCTCAGAGGACAAGAAGAGGCAACACAACGAAGCACACGAATAGAACTCTTTACAGCTTGTTTCTTCATCCATTTGTCTACATTCAGAGGCACACAGCATTGCAGGTGGGCCGAAATAAGCCTGCAGCAGAGGTCTGATTTATGGGGACTGCGGAGTTGCTACACAGAGTGGCAAAAGTGCCACCTGATGAGATTGATGACGGGAACGGGGATGGTTTTTTGGCTTGGACTAGGCAGTGTACTAGTACCCCTGGGTGAAGTTGTAGCCAGTCTGTGAGTGGAAGCTGGAGCCTGAGGCGGTGAAACTGTAGGCGGCGTAGGCAACCACAGAGCCCAACATCAGTCCAGACATGTAGGACACGGTCATTATGTTCCCTGTGGGGGAAAACAATCACATGAACTAAAGCTAATGAACAGAGTGTAAACGCATCCTTCCGATTTGCATACAAACACCTGTTCTGCATGCATTTATGTATTTGTGCTCAATGAATATGGCAAGCAGTTTGAATATCAAATCTAAAAAATGTACTAGTATCCTTTTTCATACTACTTCTTTTCTTTATCTTTTCCATTTAGTACTAGCACTTATTAACTGGCTTTTAGTGCTTATTAGGTATTAGTGCTTATTCTTTAATATTAAGGGAAATTTATGTCATTTCACCACTAGAGGGCATGTGTTCACAACAAACAAAAGAGTAGTTTGATGATGCAGAGACTGAGGGCTCTATTTTGACTATTTTCGCTTTCAGGGCATGTCAGGACGCGTTTTTGCTAATTTAAGGACGGGAAATCTGCCTTGCGCCGCGGCGCATGTTCTAAAAGGGTTGAGTTTATTTTCTTAATGAGTTATAGGTGTGTTTTGAGAATAAACCAATTATAATCTCATCTCCCATTCCCTTTAAGAGTCAAGAGCGCATTCGCTATTTACAGGACGCAAAGTAAGTGGAAAAAATGAGCATTTCACTAGCAAACAGTTAACAGTTTTTTAACAGAAAACTGTTAAACAGAGCATCTACTGCGTGAGAATGAGAGAGAATCTATCACTTTCACTTTCGCTCTTGGATAGGGAAACCTTTACGCACAGACATCAATTAGTCTATAAATAAATACTTTTGTTTGTTAAGCACAAATGTTCGTTTCAAAACTATTTCTAAATTCAGTTCTAATTTCTAGCAAACGAATAAATGAACAATAATAACAAAATGTGCTCAAAAACCTGAGTTATATCCTAAAACACATGCTGTGCCCCATATGGTCTAAAACCTGACAGGTGGGAAAATCTAAGCTTGTTTTTAATAAAACAAATATAAATATGGATATAATAAATAATATTGCTAATAATAATAACATTATACAAAAGCAAATTGTTATGAATGAACTGAAAAAGCCTCCAGAGATGAAGAAGGCATAAAAGCAGTGATTTTTCATATTTATGTAGGCTAGAAAATAATATGTTTTGTAATATTTTAATCCTTTATCTATTATTATTATATCCTATATATATCCTTAATATTTACATTTTTCTCTCTTGTGCGTATTAAGCAGTGCGTAAGCGCGCCGTAATTTAGACCGGGTTAGTTTTGGTCTAATGAAAAATCTATTATAGATTCTCAAAATAGCAACGCGCCAGCGGTCCGCCTCAGAACGCCTTCCTTTTTAGACCAGAACGCCTATGGGCGCAAAAATGAGCGCTAATGCATTTGCTATTTAAACAGCGTAGAGCAAAGCCTCAAAACGACTCTTGCGCCAATCTGAAACTAGCAAAAGACTACTGCGCCACGCCTTGCGCCACACTGCGCCAGGTGTATGATAGGGCCCTGATTGTGGAATCATGGGAGTTGTTGTCTTTATTTCATCCTATGGGAGTGCAGAAATCATGAGTTAAAGCAGGGGTGTCCAAACTCCAGGCCAGTGTCCTGCGTATTTTAGTTCCAACTTATATTAAACACACCAGAACCAACAAATCAAGTTCTTTCTACATATACTAGAAAGTTCCAGGGAGGTGTGTTGAGGGAAGGAGTCACCAGGCCTCCAGGACTGACTTTGGACACCCCTGAGTTAAAGTATTCAAATCTGATTTAATAATCTTCTGTGTTGTTTCCCTGTTTTCTATAAAACCAAACTGGAAATTGAGCTTGTATATTGTCATTAGCATGAAGATAAAGAACTTGGTCCATATCACTTGTTAAAATTGGTAAGATTTCTCTGGATTTGAACACTCGTCGCAACATTTGAGATCCTGTAGGTACAGTCAGCCAAAGTGTTTTTGGGATATTTTATTTGACATATTGTGCCTTGTTAAATACTAGTTCCTGTTTAATAGAAACTAGGTGCCCTATCATACACCCTGCACAATAAGGCGGTGTTTGGCGCAATTTGTTGCTATTTTCAGACCGGCACAACTCTAATTTTCACGTTTTGTGCCACGTTGTTTAAATAGCAAATCCATTTGTGCCAGTTTGTGGACACATGGGTGTTCCAGTCTATAAAGGAGGTGTGTTAAGGCGCTTCGTTGGCACGTTGCTATTTTGAAGAACTGAAATAGACCATGCCATTTGCCAGGTGAAAGCTGGTCTAAAGTCCAGCGCAGAGAATGTTAGCTATGCGCCTATGTGGATTTAAAAGCTTACACATTGCTTAATACACACAGAATTCACAGCAATACACAAATATCTTTACATATGAAAAATTCAAGAATTAAATATTACAAAAACTAATAATTTTTACATAAATATAAAAACCACTGCCTCATCACGGGTGGCTTTTTCAGTCATGGGTTGCGGCTGGAAGGGCATCCGCTGCAAAAAAACGTGCTGGGTAAGTTGGCGGTTCATTCCGCTGTGGCGACCCCAGAATATTAAAGGGACTAAGCCGAAAACAAAATTAATGAATGAATATTCAGGTGGGCCCCATGTGGTACCCATTCATTCATTCGTTAATTTATTCAAATTAATGAATGAATACTAAAATAAATATTTCAGCAACTCCCAGTTCATGCATACCTTAAATGTTAAAATGTCTTGCCATACCCCGCATCTACGTAAATGTAGTGATAGATTTACCTGCCAGCTCCCTCTGCTCAGGTGCCACCTTGCCCGCAGCATGAATCATAGGAACACTGCCAAAGTAGCCATTAGTGATGCCCATAAAGAGAGAGAAGATGCAAGGCCATGCCGGGTGGCTGAACATAGGCATTTGAGCGGGATACACACACATGATGAACAGAGGGATGAAAACCACTCGCACACAGGAGAAGAAGAGAAGACGCGTCCCGTTCCACTCGTATGGCACAGCTGCCAAAATCTGTACCCAAAAAATTTAAGTTTTCATAAAAGAATATTAATGATAACATTTGGCTTTGTAGTTAGTTAAACAAAAAAATTGTGATCATACTTTGCCCACAAAGTCCGATATGTTGAAGATGGCCATGATGAGGATGGGCAGCCATTCGCCGAGGGTGGCGTTTTTGATTTCAGACTCCAGTCCGGGGAAAAGACACAGCGTGATGAAGTAAGTGACTGCGATGGACAGCATGTAGGTCCAGATCACCCTCGCGACCACATAACGGTGCAAGATCATGTCTGAGACAGAAGGGGTCACTGCTCCATTAGACAGTGGCATGAAAATTGGGTGCAATTAAGAGTATCAAGGTTTATTTTCATTGCACTACATGTGTGGGCATACAGTGGAATGAAATACGGTGTCTTGAAGGACCACAAAGCTACATAAATAAACATAGTCATAAATATGAACACAACACTGAACATAAGAGCTATATTTTCAACCTATACATAACTAACATATCAAAGCTGTAATCTAACTATACTGACCATACATATACAACCCCAAATCAGAAAAGGTTGGGACAGTATGAAAACCACAAATAAAAAAAGAACGTAGTGGTTTCAAAATTTACTTTGACTTGTATTCCATTGCAGACAATAAACATGTATAAACACATATTCCAATTTTCATTCTTGCAACACATTTCAAATAAAGTTGGAACATTAAAGTATTTGCCACTTTGTAATGTTGCCATTCCATTTCACAACACTTTAAAGACGTTTAAGGACTGAAAACACCAAGTGATGAAGTGTTTCATGTGTAATTTTTTCCCCACTCTTCCTGCGAACAAGTCTTAAAGTGGTCAACAGTACAGGGTCTTCGTTGTTGCACTTTGTGCTTCAAAATGCGCCACACATTCTGTATTGGAGACAGGTAGGGACTGCAGGCAGGCCAGTCAAATACCTGTACACTTTTTTTATTTACGTTTTCTATTATTTCCTAACTTTTTCTGATTTGGGGTTGTACTATAAATACTTAGCTATACACATAATAACAATATTGTGCAAGATAGTGTGCAAAGGAGGTATTTAAGGTTGATGAAAACAAGCAGTGCAACATGATTTGTGGTACATTCACAGGTAAACATTTTCTTCCTTATTGTAAGATGGAGATTGAGTAAAGTGTCCAGTGCATATGGAGTGTTTTTACAAGTGGTATACCTGTACATTGCCTGCTGTTTAAAAGTTTGGACTTAGGAAGGTCAGACAGATTTCAATGCTAATTTTTAGCAAGGAGGTCACACTTAACACTAAATAATGTTATTTTAAAAATGGTATTTTGAATGAAACCAAATCAGATATAATTTGGCATCTTGGAATGATTTTTGAAGGATGTGTGACACTGAAGGAATAAACTATATTTTGATATATATTTATTTAAAGAAAACATCTGAACTCATAATATTTCATAATAGTTATATATTAATAGTATTTTCCTTTTTTATTTAATAATTGCAGACAACTACTTAAGAATGTACAATGGTGTTTGTTTTTTGTAGTTTTTTTTTTTTTTTTATCTGCATTTTGAATTTTGCACTGCATTGCATTGTGTTTTAAGGTCAAAGGCAAAGGATTACCAGTACAAATACATTTTTAAACTTATTTTTACATAATATGAATTTAGTTTTAATGGTGCTTATTTCTATATTTTTATATTTATGTCAATCTTTTAAAACAAATAACTTACTAACATCATCTGCTGCGTAAAAACTTACTGGATAAGTTGGTGGTTCATTCTGCTGTGGCGACCCCAGAGTAATAAAGGGACTAAGCCGACAAGAAAACGAATGAATGAATGAACGAATGAATGAACTTACTAACATACTTTATATAATCTTAAGCAGATTTCATAATGAATATTCCTTGTACTGTAAATTACAAAACTGATGCCTTTATTTAATTGTAATGTACAGTACAAATGACCAGAAAATTACGTTTTTATTTAATGTATTATTAAAATAATGACCTAAACATCTATAAACTTAATTAAAATGAAAAATGTTGAATTTATTGATTTAAAATTCGTAAAATTATCTAAAAATGCAGAATTTTTTATTGTACTATTTATATCATATATTTAAATTTAAATGCTTTAACAAAATTAAACTAAAGATTCTAAAGGTACTAAAGAGCGATGTTGTCGCAGCGGTGTTGTTGCGCGCCTACTGAACGGCGGGACCGAGGGTGTGTCGCATCGTGGGGGCACTTTTGATCTTTTTGGAAGGGCACTTTCTATCCAAGACTAAAAAGGGCATGTGCACTGCACAGGTTGAGCCCTATGTGTGCACGTGCCTGTAAATATGTATATGTGTATATGAATGATTGTATGTGTATGTATACATATGTATGTATTTTAGCGAGTATACCGATGCCATGTCGCCCTGGTCTAGGATTCACCCCAGCTGGCACCTCATCAACACCAGATCGATCACAGCTGGAGCTCATCAAGAGGAGACACATAAAAGCCAGCCCCACACACGAGGAAGATGAGCTTCATTTCTTACATGACTCCCTGTGCTAATACATGGTTCTCTCTGTCTCTCTCCCACATCGGATTCCAGCTCTTGATCGATCCAGCATCCAAACTCTCGCTCTACTTCACCTTCTTCCCAGAGCACCTACCCCAAGAAGAGCACCGTATTCACCTTGTTTCAAGTTATTCATTTTGTAAATAAATCACCCTCCGGGGACCTGTTTGTAACATAACGCTACTGTGTGTGTGTTTTCCCTCTGCCTCGCTACAGTGACGTATTGGTTTCTGTCATACATGTGACATATGTTTCTGGCATATATGGGACATATAGGTTTCTGGCATGTGTGTGTGGAAATACATGTTTCTTGTCAGGATTCTGCCACTCTGGTCTTAATGCGCGGGCAGTCGTGGGTGTGCGCAGAGTGTAAAGCACATGGCTCTGTGTTTACAAAATTATCAAAAGAACACCATAGTCAAATTCTTATCAAACATCGAGAGACTTTGAATTAGAGACTTCGTATTCGGTGGAGTTACTCTCAGTGTTCAATGTTTCAGCTTTCAGCAGTGGCATTTACATTACACTAAACTAAACTGAACTTCAACTGTGAAAACTGGACTGAAGCAGCTTCAGTTTATTAGAAATGTAGCTTTTTTAATGCTAGTTCTACCAGGAATAGCTAATACCATGTCACTCATCACAATCAGTTCCAACCAATAGCCACAAGACACAATGAATATATCAGCTGTCAATTCATTTCATTCATTTGGTTGCAGATATTGACACGGATGTTCACCCACCATCCTCCCCACCACCACCAGGTTGGCCCTGTCCAAGGGAAAAGGCTCCACCCCTGCCTTCATCCTTGGCAGTCATAGCTGGATCTAAACACTTTTGATTCAAGCCATGGACAGGGCCTCTGCCAAAGAAATCCTGTTTTGTTAAATCATACTTTTGTCAAACAATACTCATCGAATAAATGTAATTACGTACTATATTTATCTTCCTGGTCTTTCTGCTAGAACTCAATCTGTTTTGACACAACACTGTAAAATTCTCTATAGAAATAAAGATAAATTGAATTGAATATTAGATGGCCTCTCTTTTTCTCTCAGCATTCGTTTAGTTGTTCAGTAGTCAATGGAGCATTTCCAATCCTCTCCCTGTGTCCATTAGTGAGCATGTGATTAGTATTCCAACAAAATTCCCTTAACAAACCCTCATTTGAGCTCACACACACACACACACACACACACACATTATAAATAAGCTCCACATTCACCCACATAAATTCGCCAGTATATGTGCACCTACCCACAAACTATATTCTCATATACACACATAAGCTCAGTCTACTCAGCACTTGTTAACCCATAACACAGTGTTGAGTGAGCATGCCCAGTGCAGGGCTGCTGAGAGACAGACGACAATCAGCATAAAGATTGGGACATATGTTTCTGGTATTTATATGGACATATATATTTCTGGTATATATGTGGACAAATATGTTTCTGGCATATATGTGACATATAGGTTTCTGGCATATATGTGACATATAGGTGTCTGGCATATATGTGACATTTAGGTTTTTGGCATATATGTGACATATAGGTTTCTGGCATATATGTGACATATAGGTGTCTGGCATATATGTGACATTTAGGTTTTTGGCATATATGTGACAGGTTTCTGGCATATATGTGACATATAGGTTTCTGGCATATATGTGACATATAGGTTTCTGGCATATATGTGACATATAGGTGTCTGGCATATATGTGACATTTAGGTTTTTGGCATATATGTGACATATAGGTTTCTGGCATATATGTGACATATAGGTGTCTGGCATATATGTGACATTTAGGTTTTTGGCATATATGTGACAGGTTTCTGTCATATATGTGACATTTAGGTTTTTGGCATATATGTGACTGTGGCGAGGGGGCGTGGCCGAGAGCCGTTGGAACGGAGTGAGGCCACCGCGTAACTGAATACACCTGCGGTTCGCACCTGCCTCGATTCTTACGGAAGGAGCTCTGGACCATAAAAAGGAGGACTGATGGCAGAGGAAGCCGAGAAAGGACCGGGCCCGGGCATGTTGTTTTACTTTTGTTTTCAGTTTGACGGCAGTCTCCGTGAGGAGCTGCCGTCCGTTTGTTTTGGTTTAGACGGCAGTCTCCGTGAGGAGCTGCCGTTCATATTATAAATAAATATTTTTTAAACTACGTCGGTTCTCCGCCTCCTACTTCCCGGCGGCTAAAGGGCCATGAACATTATTACAGTGGTGCCGAAGCCCGGGAGTAGGAGGGACGCGTTGTCCAGATGCCCTCGCCGCTGAGAGAGGGGGCGAGTGTTTGGGAGTTAACCCGAGTGGGGGAGAAACCCGTTCGTCTGCCCAGAGTGGCGGGGCGGCCTGAGGCTGGCGAGGAAAGGATCTGCCTGCTGCCGTCTCCCAGCATGGGGAGGAGCAGGGGACGCGGGGCTCACCACCGGAGGGGAAAGTGCTGAAGGGAGCCATCCCACAGAGCCCGGGGGAGTCGCCGCGATCCGCCATGATGCCAGAGCCTGCATCCATCCACCGATGCGGGAGCGGAGCAGGAGACCAGAGATGCCGCCAGCCAGCCAGGAGAACCGCCGGACGCCAGAAGACGGACGGGTGGATAGATTCCTCCACAGGGCTCCCAGCACGTCGTCGCATCTCTCAGCTGGTGGAGGACCGAGTGACAGCGTGTCTGGAGAACCGAACCCCAATTTTTTTTTCTCTTTTTCCTCTCTCCCCTTTCTCGGTCTACTCTGTCTTTCCTCCTTTTTTTCCATTTCCTTTTCTCTCGGCCCGTCTCATATAGGTCTCGCGGGTGCTGTGGCGCCAAACCCCCCCCCCCCGGAGTATGCACTGGGCGTGGCCGACAGCCGTGGGAACGGAGTGAGGCCACCGCTTAAGTGAATACACCTGCGGTGCGCACCTGCCTCGAATCCCACGGAAGGAGCTCTGGACCATAAAAAGGAGGACTGATGGCAGAGGAAGCCGAGAGAGGACCGGGCCCGGGCATATTGTTTTACTTTTGTTTTCAGTTTGTTCCATTTGTTTGGGTTTAGACGGCAGTCTCCGTGAGGAGCTGCCGTCCGTTTGTTTTGGTTTAGACGGCAGTCTCCGTGAGGAGCTGCCGTTCATATTATAAATAAATATTTTTTAAACCACGTCGGTTCTCCGCCTCCTTCTTCCAGGCGTGAACATTATTAAAGTGACATATAGGTTTCTGGCATATATGTGACATTTAGGTTTTTGGCATATATGTGACAGGTTTCTGACATATATATGACTAGCGAGTATACCGATGCCACGTCGCCCTGGTCTAGGATTCACCCCAGCTGGCACCTCATCAACACTAGATCGATCACAGCTGGAGCTCATCAAGAGGAGACACATAAAAGCCAGCCCCACACACGAGGAAGACGAGCTTCATTTCTTACATGACGCCCTGCGCTAACACATGGTTCTCTCTGTCTCTCTCGGACTCCAGCTCTTGATCGATCCAACACCCGAACTCTCACTCTAATTCACCTTCTACCCGGAGCACCAGAGCACCTACCCCAAGAAGAGCACCGTATTCACCTTGTTTCAAGTTATTCAGTTTGTAAATAAATCACCCTCCGGGGACCTGTTTGTAACACAACGCTACTGTGTGTGTGTTTACCCTCTGCCTCGCTACAGTATGTATAAACGGACATGTATGCGAGAGGATATCATGTGATCCAGAAGTGTACAAAAAGGAGCACCTGATTGAGATGAACACTGTGTGATGAAGAGCCGTGTGGCTCGAAACGTTACACGCTTTGTGTCAGCTTTTTTAATCTAATAAATTTGTATTTTTGAAGCTTTGGTGTTGCCGCCTTTGATGAAAATTTAATTTGCACTTTTCACCCTCCCAATAGTGCTGCACAACATCGCCTTGATAAAGCGCTGTGTGCATCTCCAGGAGTCACATCATAAGATCTGCAATGTTGAGTGAGAATTATGGTTGACTGTGCTTCACAGTTTGAGTTCTGGATGGCATTTGTAGACTAAATGCAGAGTTAAGGTTAGGTTAGGGTTCAGTTTAGGACATAATGTAGAGAAAGTTTATCATTTGCATGTGTTTTAGGGTCTGTGAATGTGTAAGCATTTCAAGCAAATTTGTAGCTTACACTAAGATTGATAGTATTAATTTATTTTTTAATTATTCATACGATTAAGACTATACAGCATCATTATATATTTAATAATTAAATTTATTTATTTATCTGAAAACTATTAGACTTTCCTTAAATCCCTATTTACTTACTTTTGCTCTGTTGTATTATTCAGAGATTTGCCTATTAAATTGTATGCAGATGTACCATCCAGCAGAATCAATGTTAAATGATTGATTCTTTCCAAATAGAGCTGTTTAATTTATCTGGTGAAATTGTGCTCTTTTTAAAATATATAATCGCAAAAGAAAAAAAGAAAAAACACAATTTCCAATATTTTACAATATCATGCACCCCTAGCACCCATCATAAAATGAAGTGTTAGAAATGAGATCACACCTTTAACGCCTGGCCAGCTCCGTTTCATCTTTGGTTTGGGCACATCAAACCTGACATAAGTGTTTCCTCCAGCAAAATCTGCACATCCATCTTCAGCTGGAGAACAGCCCACTGCACCATTACCCTTCAACACAGACAGGACATTCAACAGTTCATCCGCATTACAGTACTGTATCTGTATATGCAAGACACTGGACTGATGATCATTTTCTCCATTTCAATAATGTAAAGAACCCATTGTATTCACTTAAAGATTGAAAATAAGACATCAGAAGCAATGACTGTATCAAGCAGGTCACTGTAAGTGCCCACTGCATTCAGAGATTGTAATGTTTCTTGATGAAACAGCGTTTCTGCAGGCCGACGTGAGGAGGGCCATTACTTGATTAAGTGTCTGGCTGAGCCGGGAAAACCACTTTCCTTAATTTGCTGAGAATAAAACAAGAGAACCGGGGGTCTCACAGACAGGAGAAATGACCCCTCAGAGAATCATAAGCTTCACCTCAGCGGCAGGAGAAGAGCATTACGTAAATCAAAGATAAAAATGCACAAAAACGAACTGTGAGGATTTTTAGGATGCAAAAATAAACTTGTGTATTGTGTTTTTGCTACATTTCTGATCCGTCAGGGTTTCTGGACATTGTTATATACAGTGCTCAGCATAACTGAGTACACCCCATTTTGAAAATGAATATTTTTGGCAATTGCTCAGTGAATATAGGCATTGTATTTTGGTGCATTTAACAATTTATTAAACAGATACATTTATTCAAATAAAATTTTAGTCACTAATTAATTTTTAATCATCAGTAATTTATTTTAGCTGAAATAAAATATTTTAGTCACCAAACATATTCAGAAATTTAAAGAAAATACAATTAAATTCAAGCAAAATATTGCAAAACAAAATTACAACCTACAAAATTTCAACTAAATTTTTCAATTTTTGTATTTAATATTTTTTATAACATATAAATTTGAGTGTACTAGTAAAATATGTTTTTAAAAGACTTGTGAGGGGTGTACTTGTATATGCTGAGCACTGTATGCAACAATTTTCAAAAAGGTTCCATTAATGTATATATTAACATGAACAAACAATGACCAATATATTAATTACAGTATTTATATGTGTCTGTTAATATTAGTTAATGAAAATACAGTTGCTTCCTTAGTACTCAGTTTATTACCTAATGTTAACAAGGATGAATTTGGATTTTAATAATACATTAGTAAATGTTGAATTACAATGTATAAATTCTGTACAGTACAAGTATTGTGATACTCAGTTCCTGTTAGTAAATACATAAACGAACATTAACAAACATAAATTTCACAAAATATTGATTTATTATCTGTTCTGAAAATGAAAACATTTCTTATGTGTATTCAAAAATATAAAAAGTCTGAAAACACAGCACCTTTTAGTTATTTTATGTGATAAACATCTCTAAACACGTTGGCTCGGTGGTTAGCACTGTCACCTCACAGCAAAAAGTTCACTGGCTCAAGTATGAGTACGAATGTGTGTTTATGGATGCTTCCCAGTACTAGGTTGCAGCTGGAAGGGCATTTGCTGTGTAAAAACGTGCTAGATATATTGGTGGTATAAAGGGAATGAATAAAGGGGCTAAGCCGAAGGACAATGAATGATTATATGAAGGAATGGCTCTAAATGACAACATTTTTCTTTTCAAAGAAAACAAATAATTTTTCAAGTGGTCTCTTATTTTTTCATAGCTGTATATGTGGTTTTGAAATGTAGATTAAAAAAGTAATAAATAAATTTATAAATAAGAACAGACAGAAACTACAAAAATAGAAATAAATTAAAATTGATTTTTGGCACTTTGATGAAATCCCCACAAAAAACACAAACTATTAGGCAGCTATTTTCAACAATGAAGAAAAATCTTAGATGTTAAGGTTTTTTTTTTCTGAGCATCAAAACAGCATATTAGAATCAAAAGACACAATTTGTAATTGCAACAGAAAACAGAAATCATTCAATAATTAGATTTGCAAGTTTCAATACATGCAAAATCATGGTCAGTTTTTGACATTTAAAAACATTAATCTATCCATAAATTTTAAAAACCCTAAATGGTCAGATGTTCACTAATACTTTATTAATACAGTTGAAGTCAGAATTATCAGCCCACCCCCCACCCACCCCCCATTTTCCCCCCCCAAATACTGTTTAACACAGTTTCAACACATTTCTGATCATAGTAGTTTTAATAAATCTCTAATAACTGATTTATTTTATCTTTGCCATAATGACAGTAAATAATGTTTAACTAGATATTTTTCAAGACACTTCTATACAGCTTAAAGTGACATTTAAAGGCTTAACTAGGTTAATTAGGTTAATTAGGCAGGTTAGGTTAATTAGGTAAGGTATTGGATAACGATGGTTTGTTCTGTATATTATAGAAAAATATATAGCTTAAAACAAATAAAACAAATAAGGCTTTCTCCAGAAGAAAAAATATTATTAGACTTTTTCAGACATAGGAAATTTCCCTTGTTCTGTTAAACATCATTTGGGAAATATTTAAAAAAGAAAACTAAATTCAAAGGGGGCTAATAAGTCTGACTTTAAATGTATATGAGTAAAATATAAGTTACCAAACAAAAAGTAATATTTTTTAGATATTGAATGTTTATGTCCATATACATCCCTATTTTTATTATATTTGTAATATTTTTTAAATTAAAATAATTTAATTACTCAGCAAAAATTCCACTGGCAATCCTTTCTACACTCTAAAACTATACTGTAGGTATTAAAGCTGTCACTGGTGCAGTTCCTTTGCAAAGCATACACTGTGTACATTATAGTTAATCATATGTGCACTTCAGGTGCTAATATGCACTTTTGAAGCAGGGGTGTCAAACTCTGCACAGTTTAGTTGCAACCCTGCTTCAACTGATTCTTACCTGTAGGATTCACACAAGATTGAAGCACTCAATTAGTTTGTTTAATCAAGTGTGTTTAATTAGGGTTGGAACTAAACTGTGCAGAGCTGCGGCTCCCCAGGAACTGGGTTTGACACCTGTGCTTTAAGGCAGTGCTTTCCAAAGTGCGGGTTGGTCATTTCCCAAAATCTAATTTATTTTATTAAACTATTAAAATTCTCATATTTTATCAATAACCTACAGAAAAAAATGGGTAATAGTTACATAAAAAACAACATGGAAATAATAAGCCATTAGCCTTTGGATTTTTTGTGACTCCTGGTAATTATGCTATATTAAAAAAACAGCAATAGATCCAGCACAATGATTTTATGGCACCAGGTTAAAACTTTCTGACACCTTTATGCCACTCACATTAAAACGACGAATAGACTTAAGCCTATTGTGTGCGCTGTTGTGTGCAAGATTTATATATTTATAACCACCTCAGAGGATATTGAGGGTTGTGAGTGACTGGCTGTCATGATCACCAGCGATCAAATCACCAGCTGGCAAACACACACACACACACACACACACACACACACACACACACAGGACTACAAATCTGCTTATATATGGACTACATATTCGGTCATGCCACACACACACACACCTGCTCCAAGTCTTCACTGATTAGACTCCCACAGCTGATCCTGCTTCTAGACTGATTACTGCACTGCTTAAACAGCACAGAAACTCTCACTGTTGCTTAGTCTTGTTAGCTGTATCAGTGACATTACAACGCGGTTACCTTGTCTAGTTTTCCTGTGTTTTCGATCTAGCTGTGTATTCTTGTTCTTTCTGCCTGCCGCCTGCCTTTTTGACTTTCTTGCTTGTTACCGATTACGATTCTGGACTGCCTACACATATCTGTTTATACCTGTTGACCTTTGCTTGTCTGACGACGAATAAACCTGCATTGTGGATCCTACCTTCTGTTGTCTGTGTCACTCCCCGTGGTTACTGGCATTGTTATTTTGGGGGTTGTGGAATTGAAAAGTTTGGGAACCCCTGTTTTAAGGTAAAAATATGTATTCTTTATCTACAACCATGTATCTTTTGTAAATGTTCCACCCCAGTCAGAGCTTTAGTATTTATAGTTCTGAGTGCAGAGATCTAAACAGTGAAAATGTGGACAATGATGAAGAAGTGTTGAGAGGAAGAACGGCTGAGTGGTCAGAATGTTGGCTACAGTAAAAACATGCGGTTTCCTCTGAAGTGCTTTCATATTTTCTTTCAGTCGAACTGTCTGTGTGAGTGAGCTCTTAAATTACAATCTTTCTATGTGTGCACTGACCGGCACAAATCAAACACTCAAGAGATTTTACAGAAAACACAGCTGAGAATGCGGAACTAAAACAGGCTTTACACAGTTCAGCTAAATTAAAAGCTCTAACATTCTACATTCCAATGAACTCCATCACACATTAACAACAGCGCAAGATAACACCCCTGATTTATTTCACTCCAAATGGATTGAATAAACCATACAGCAGAGGCACAAATAGTATCTTTTTTACGAGAGATGTTCGGATTGTATTCATTCATTCATTCATTCATTCATTCATACATTTTCTTGTCGGCTTAGTCCCTATATTAATCTGGGGTCGCAACCCATCTCTGAGAAGCATCCACAAACACTCCCTCACACACTCACACACTACGGACAATTTAGCCAACCCAATTCACCTGTACTGCATGTCTTTGGACTGTGGGGGAAACCGAAGCACCCGGAGGAAACCCACGCAAATGCAGGGAGAACATGCAAACTCCACACAGAAAGGCCAACTGAGCCGAGGATCAAACCAGCGACCCAGCAACCTGCTTGCTGTGAGGCAACAGCACTACCTACCGCGCCACTGCTACGCCCCAGAAAATTCATATTTTTTGAAAAACATGAATGTTTTTTTGTTCAGAATTACTACTGTAAAAACTTTATAAATAAGCTGACATTAAGATGCACTTCTCACATTTGACATGCAAGACTTACAAATCTTACTTCTTCTGTAATGACATCATGGTGAACCTGGTACTGGGAGGCGTGCTGTGAGTGGTCTTTGGCATGAGAAAGTCCCCGTCTGGCCAGACTCGTGTAGTACTGGACAAAACGTGTCCGTCGCACCAGCAGATGCAGAATAAAACACACCAGCACCATACAGATGGAAATGACGAAGAAGATGATGGTGTTCTTTCTCTCGTCTTTGATCAGCAGTTTGGTGAAGATGCGACTGAGTGAAATAATCACTCCTGCAGTGCCTGAACAGACAAAACAGACCGATCAGAAGCTTGTTTTTACAGTTTGAGTACAGATTTGTTTGTACATATACAGTAAGCTACAGCTTTATGCATACAGTGTGTGTGACTTTCGTGATCAGCACAGCACTCACACATACAGACTTTTCCTGTATAATGTCTATGAAGCTGGCTCATGCTCTTTCAAAGGTTGGTTAACCCAAAAATTTTATTCTGCCATAATTTCTAAAAATAAAAAAGTAAATTCCAAAAATCGGGAACTGAGTTTTTATTACTGTTTTTGTACAGGATACATATTGATTATATACAGTGGTCCCTTATTAATCACAGGAGTTACGTTTTAAAAATAACTTACAAAAGGAGAAATCTGCAAAGTAGTCAGTTGTATTTTTGCAATTATTATAGATGTTTTAAGGCTGTAAAACCCCTCACTACACACTTTATACACTTTTCTCAGACAGGCATAAACATTTTCACACTTTTCTCTTTTGTTTAAAACTCATAAAGTTCCAACCTTTGTAGAAAAATAAGTCTAGTATTAGTGAATAAAACCAAAAATCTAAACCATTTGATCTTCATTTATTTATTTATTCTGTAATGGCGCCCTACAGCCGCGTAACTTCTTGCCTTTGATGGTGCAGAACGTTTCGTTAACATTGTGGGGAGAAAACTTACAAACATACAGTCAAACACTTGATTCACACTGCTAGCGATCGAAGATTTATGTAAATCTGGCAAGCTGAACGCATTCTGTACTGTACAGGAGACACGGAGGGGATTGATTAACATTGGTTTAAAAAAAAGTGAACCACGTTATAGCAAGGGATCACTGTAATATGTTTATTCAAACTAACTAAACATGTCAATAAAATTATTTTTGGTAAATTGAAGAGTTAAAAAAATGATCAACATCACAAGTTGACAGAGCAGAGATCAAGGTCCCATGAGACAATTTGGAAACAGATAAAAATGAAAAACACTCAAGAGCTACAGCTAGGGCTGCACAATATATCATTTAAGCATCAATATTACAATGTGTGAACCAGCAATAGTAACATTGAAGGATCTACAATGTTCAAATGAGATTATAATAAACCCGGGACCATAAAACATTTGCAGAGTCACTAAGGGCGTAGAATTGGCATGGACGGAGGGGATGTGTCCCCAACAATATCTATCAATTACTGAAATGTCTCTACCAATAATTTAAACGACTTCAAAATAAAATATTGCTCCGTCAACCATTAGTAACCTACTCATAATCAAATACTCCTAATCAAAATGAAGTTTCAGGATAAAACAGTTAAATTGCGTCACACACCTCCCTAAATTTCTCTACATTTATACCTCCTTAAAGCCAGATTGCAGTAAAATGATGTAAATTGACTATTGCAGCATGGAACGTGATTCATTAATAGTTATTTGTATTATTAGGTGTTTATTTTATATTATTAGGTACTTTATTCGTTTTTTTAAAAGAGCAAAAACAATAAGCGCAATGCATGCACTCTAGGGATGCATGTTCTCACCAATGTCAAGATCGAATCGGATGTGTTTTAAAGGCCTGTGTGAGCATTTCAAACCACAAGAAATGATAAAGTTTGTAGCTAAGATTATTTATTTGATTATTTATGCTCCTACAGTGTTATTTTACATTTGATTTTTGAATTTCTGTGTCTGAATACTGTTAGACTTCCCTCAAAACCATAAACACTTGTGTATTTGATTTGAATCTTTGTGTTCATCAATGCTTGCATTTTGTTTATTATATTTTATGCACATTCCCTCCCCAACAAATTCATCCCAATCTATCTGAAAAGATGAATTCTTTGCAAACAGCGTTATTTAAGTCATCTTTTTTAATCATCGAAATTATAATTACATTGCATAAAGCAGAAAAACAAAATATCACAATGTCAGTTTATTTCTAATGTCATGCAGACCTAGCTTCACCCCGGGCAACTTTTAATTAGTTGCAGTTAATTACAGTCACAGTAATTAGCTGTAAACTGTTTATTAATTTAAAGAGCCTCTGTGAACATTTCCAGCTGAAATGAAATATAATTATAAAGTTTTTTTAGCACTTCTCCTTGTCACTTCTAACTCACAGCACTATAAAGTAATGGTAGGAGTGTTTAAAGATCCTATAAAATTAAAATAAAGTTGATTAGACGTTAGATTCAGTATGCTAGTCTATGCACTGGTTCTCAAAGTGGGGTTTGCGGGACAATGACAGGGTGATTTCTAAAAGTCAAATACATTTGATTAAACTATTAGAATGACCATATTTTATCCATAATCCTGTGGAAATATAAATTTCTATCAACTAATTCCAAATGAACAATAATCTACGTATAACTGAAAAGTTATATTCTTTGGTTTTTAATTAGATAATTTCATTAACATCCCAGCTAGGAGGGACATTAACCTTTTGTCTTTCTGATTACAGGCTAAGCCAAAGTAATGCAAATTGCCAGTTTCTTCTCTTCCTTTTCACTCATTTATTTTTTTACAACAATCCACAGAAGATATAGTAGTTTATAGTTACATAAAAAGCAACAACATGCAAATAAAAAGTCATCAGCCTTTCAATAATTATTTTTTTCATACATACATACATCAGTGTATTTTCATTAGATTAACAGCACAGCAATAGTGTCAGATGCAGCACATAACACCGGGTTAAACTTTCTGACACCTTTATGGCAATCAAATACATTCAAAACGAACACAGGCCACAACTGAACATTGAGAATGATCTCTGAGTAGCAGTCTCCAAAATTAAACTAAGAATAGACTTGAGCTGAAAGCGTTGTGCCCACCAGTCTCTAGCTAAGGTTAATATTAAATTAAACAAATTATTAAATGACTATAAAAATTTTAGGTTTTTTGTTGTCAATATGCTCATGTTTCTATAGGCCTATTGTTATGTGTGCAACTTTTGTATATTTATAACCCCCTCCAAGAAATGTGTGGGTCGTGAGTCACTGGTTTTGTTATTTTGGGTGTCACGGGTTGAAAAGTTTGGGAACCTCTAGTTTAAAGGATATCCATAAGCTAGTGTGCAAAATAAATACAAAATTTGCATTTAGAAGATATAAAACATCCAAAAGTTGCAGTTTGTCTCTTTCACCTAAATCTATCTATGATTTTTTTTAAATTATCTCATTCTTCAGCTTCTCATCAAATCTTCTGACCAATCAAACGCTCTGTAGTATCCCACATGCCCCGCCCCCTTCAAGACTCTTTTCATTTGCTTTTCATATGATGCTTTTCAGCTTAACCACTCTCACTGATAAAAACGAAACACTATTGGCTTTAAAAATGGGGAGGTGCTACAATATCTCCCGCCCTTTCTTCATGTTTCAGTAGACATTACTTGAAACGTCGAATAAACATGCATATTTTAAAGCACTTCATTGGACCTTGAGGGATAATCTGCTCAAGCCATCAACTGAAGTCATCAGAGAAAGAACACTAGGAGCACATTTTTAGATTTTGATTAAAGGTAATTGCGACAAAATGATTAATTCACCATAAGACTACAATTTTGACGTCATGCAGATGTTGATTATGAGCCTATCTGATGGCAGAATCTTCTTACTTTCTCCGGTCATCACGCCCTGTGTGTAGCGTTTCGGAAGCATCCCCATGTAGCCATAGAAACTGGACTGCTGCACTGAAGACACAACAGGGGGAGATGCTGTTATGGCTGATAATGGCTGATTGAGAACGCAATGTACTGAGCACACGTCTGCAACCAGGATCAACACATACCTGTGCATCCGAAAGCTACTGTACCCATAGACATCAGATTGATGACGTACGCCTGCTTGATGGTGAACCTCTCCAGCCACACATCAAAAATGGTGACAAAAAGGAGAGGTCCAAGTGCAAAGAGGTAACCTATAAGACATGACACAAGTGTCAACAAATCTAAAATTACACCAGGTTATGATTAATTTTGACAATTCTGTTGACTACAGGTCAATTGCAAAACACAATTATGAATTAAAATACACATTATAATGGCATTCATAATAAATTACCAGAATTACAATGTCATAAAAGAATAAAATTTACAAATAAGCTAGCAGAAAATTCATTTTCTTTTACAGTATTCACAATACCAATATATGCATATAGGATTATCAAATCTAACACATATTATGGAAATTGTCATAAATGGAATTTATTTATAAACATAATAATTTTAGTAACTCATTTCTAATAATTGATTTAGTTTATCTTAGCCATGATGACAGCAAAAAATATTTTATTAGATATTTTTCAAGACACTTCTATACACCTTAAAGTGACATTTAAAGGCTTAACTAGGTTAATTAGGTAATAATAATATTATTATTATAGGTATAAATAATATACACATATATTATGTAAATAAAAATTAATTCTATTATTTATTATTCATGATTAATTCTATTATCTATTTTTCTATTATTTATTATTCGTGATTAATCATTAAACAGCACTAATATATACATATATGGATATTATTAGTAGTAGTAGTAGTAGTAGTAGTAGTTGTAGTAGTATTAGTAGTAGTGTACAAATATATAAAGTCTATAAACGTCAAACCACATTTAATTTTAGTTCTTTTTTGGTAATGAGTACAATTAATTTTATAATAGTTTGACAAACAAATGTAATAATATATTTCTATGGATTTTGTACTTCACTCATGCTCCAGTATTCATGCAAAATATCATAACTGGCCAAGCATGCAAGATGGCCAGACACAGTCACATTAATTTTTGGTCATTCGCATAAGAGTAAGACGTCATTAAAAACTTTCTGCCCATTTATTTTTTTAAACTTGAGCGCATCACAAAGATAAAACAAAACAAAATAAAATTTGCAATGGTCATATGATTGGGGCTTGACCAATCAGTGAGGGATGTAGAATGATCCAGAAGAGTCATTTAGGGAAAGACCCATCTTCCTATTTGAAAGTCACAGTTTTAGTCCACCTACACTGAAACACGGACTTTTCTGACTAAAGAGTTCTGTTTTCAAATGTCAAAAGCTCTGAGGTTGTGTGGATGGCAAAAGTTGTGCATTTTAAAGCTAAATTGCACTGGTTGTTCTGCCAACCAATGCTCCTTACATATGTTAGCAGACACCTCTCTACAAATCCCCACAAGTGAGCAGATATCCACTTCAGCTTGGTGATTGGTAAAGTATTGGGTGGCAGAACACTGGTGTAAACAGTCTGATACTGGTGTGTTTTTTTGCTAGATGTGAACCATCTCAGTGTGTTTCACAGTATTTTGTCAGTGCTTTTTTTCAGGTTGAGATGAGCGATGCAGCTGTCAGCCCCCACCCTCTTGCCTCAGGCCATCAACTCCCGCTCTCTCTCTCTCTCTGTCTCTCCGTCTCTATCTCTCTCTTCGTCTCTCTCTGGTCAATCAGTGGCCTCCTCCTCCCCCATCTCTTTTTTTTTGTGTCAGTCTGCTTTGAATAAACACACTCACCCACAGTGATCCTGGTGTGCAGGCTCAGCATCTCCACCAGGACATTGTTCAGGATCACGGCCACTAGCGCCACAAGAATATACGTTAAACCCATGTCAAACACGATGGATGTTCCTGAAAGGCATACCAGACAAAGACCTTGATCTTTATTGTATTTTATTTTCACACCATCACTGAACAGCAGGAACAAGAGTGATGCAGTTACATTCAGATGTCAAACCTGAAATATTAGAAAAATCTAGTTTTTGACATAGTTTAAAAGATGCATCTGAACTCTTTATACATTGTTGACTTTTGAAGATTTTAAAGTTTGCTTTAAATTGAAAATGTATCAAAAAATATTTATAATATAATAAAAAATGTATCTATTACAATTTAACATTAGCAATTAAGATTTTTTAGATAATATTTGATATTTAAATCTTATATTACATTAACACTCCAAAAAAATTTAGCTTTTACTTTTGATAGATATATGGATTTCGCAATTTGTATGTCTGCAATAGTCACATTGCAGGATATGCACAATGTTGAGTTGGGATTAAAGTTGATCAACAATTGAGAATACATGAGATTTGTGTGGAGGTATTGCAAAGTGTAACCATAAAAGAGCAAAACTTTATCAACTGCATGTGTTTTAAAGGCATTTCAAGAAAGTGCAAAGTATTAGGCACAATAATGTAAACATTTGTAAGTTTAATGAAGCAAATTTTACTGATTTATTAAAACAATGAAGACTATACAGTGTTATTTTATGATATTAAAGTTTCTGAATACTGTTTAACTCTCTCGAAAACCATAAAGCACTGTTTATTTTACTTCTTCTTTGCTCTATAGTAATTATTCTTGCAATTTTATTATTATTATCTTTTATACATGATTCACACTTTACAAAATTGATCCAATCAATGATTTTTTTAAATAGAGCTATTTGAGATGTATTCATATCGCAATGTGTATCACAGAAAAAAAAATAATCGCAATGACAGATTTTTTCAACATCATGCAGCTCTACACTAAAAATTATGTTAGGGCAAAATATAAAATAAAATTGTATAAAAGAGAAAAAAAAAACAAAAATATATAAAATGTAGTAAATAAAAATTTGTAGGTTGTAATTTTATTTTTTTGCAATATTTTGCTTCAATATATATGTATAATCTTTGTATTTCTAAAGATGTTCATTGACTAAAATATTATTTTAATAAATATATCTGTTTAATAAATCTGTTTTGTTCAAATGCACTAAAACATATTAGCTATGAGAAATGGAGAAAAATATGAATTTTCAAAAAGAGGTTTACTCACTTGTGCTGTTTTTAATAGTTTTATATTATATAAACAGCTATGGAACAAAACAACAAAACACAGGAAAATTCTCAGGAATTTCTCTGGATTAACAATTGAAGAGTTTGTTAGCAAAATCAGACAACTCCGTTTACGGTTATTTTTAGATAGCATTTTTTTGTTGTGCACTGAAGAGTGCAATTACAAAATAATGGTTTATGTTAAAAAGGGATTTTATTTTATTTTTTTCATTTACATCATTTGTTTTTGTATTGAAGAGTACAACTGGAGAAAAAAACTGAATATCTGAAAAAAAAATACAAAAATAAATTAAAACATGGTTATTGTTTTTTGCAAATAAACTCTACCATGACTGAATAACACTTTAAATAAATATAGAGCAACACTGAGCCATTTTTAATGTTTCTTGACCAGCAAAAAAAAACTATAACATGGGGCTCTGCAATATAACAATATATATATATATATATATATATATATATATATATATATCATAAGGACAAGATAAAATCTGTTGTTTCATTTTATGCTTGTCACAGGCCCTGTTTACACTAAAACGTTTTAGTTTTAAAACCGTGTTTTAGAATGAAAACGATTCACGTCCCCACTGGTGTTTCACCCAGCGTTTCTGAACAGCCCTCTGTCCACACTACACCACTGAAAATGCACATTACCTGACCACACACACACTCTGGCATGCACTGCAGTGTGCTTTGAGCACATCCACCCATTTGAGAGCTGTGCACATCGCAGTGTTCATTAAGGATCTACCGCTGGATCTAATCTCACTATATTTGTAAAACGTGATATTTAATTCAACTTGTTGTCTTTTTCTAACAAAATTCTCATATGACTTTGGTCATTTGAATCTATTACTTGTTCTCAGGTAACATGTTTTGGCTGAGCACAAAGATAAGTTAGGTTAATATCTTAATTAATGTAACCACGTACACTGATTCTGCACATCTGACTGATTGCTTGCATTTATTTCCTATATATAAACTTATTGTACGCTATACTTTCATAATGGCCATTATTGATTATTAAAACTGATATTCAGCAAAAGAGAGGGTATGTTTCATAATTTTTCACTGAAAATGAAAGGATGCAGTTCTGTTATAGACTCTGTTTTGTTATAAATATGCATACAGTCAAGATGATGCTCATATAAATATGTAGCTACACCACGCCTCAATATTTTGGTGTCTGTTAAGTTGCTAATATCAAAATGAAAACAGGCAGTTCATATCATGTTTTTATATATTGTTAAGATAGCCAGGGTGATGTGAATGATGTTATACAGTAGCCTGTTCCCTTTAAAGATTTACCAGACATGTCCTCGGGAGTTTGTTTTCCATATCAAGCTTGCGAA